CTAGGAAGCGGCCTGCTATTCTGTAGCCGGCCTCTCTGACTCCACACTGTCCCAGCCAGAGTTCTTTTGGAGATCTTGGAAGAAAAGCTGCTGCTGGAGGCTCCTCAGGTCCTGCAGAAGCTCAGGAGACAGCTGCTCAGCTGACTTCCCTAGGTCCTGTTCTTCCTCCTCCTCCTCCATTTCCCCAAGCCCATCAGGGGGCTGTGGGGAGCTCCTGGAGATGTAGCCCTGGTCCGACTGCACGGACTGCCGCTGCTCCTCCTCACAGGGTACGGAGGGGTCCTTGAGGACCAGGGCAGGGTCTTCCCATGCACCCTGGGCCTGGCTCTTCAGACTCTGCTGCAGAAGGGAGAGCATCAAGCCCCCCAGCTGCTCCCTCACACTATCGGGGAGGTGGCCAGGTGACGCCACTGGAGTGCTGCAGAGAGGCGAGTCCTCAGGGTCCCCGGGGAGGAAGAGGAGGTTCTTTCTCTGGAGGCCACGATCCTCCAGCAGGGGGCAGGCCTCGCCCTCCTCCACGCAGGTCAGCCGGCTGGCCACGCTGCTGTCAGCAAGAGGAACCAGCTCCAAGGCACAAGCAGCAGGGACCTGCTCTCTGGGGAGCACCACAGTTTGGATGGCCTCCCCCTGTGGCTGCAATTGGGGTGCCACCCTGCACATCCCCCTTCCTTCCTCACTCACACATAAATCTACCTTCAGGCAGCCCTCGGAGGCAGGTTCCCGCACCAGGGGCTTCTGCCTGACCATCCCGCTCCCCGGCGGCTGCAGTGGCTCCTCAAACACTTCTTCGTCCAGGGATGGGAGGTTCTGGTCATCCGCGGAGCAAAGGTTCTCACGTTCAAACCAGTCAGGGCACTGGGTCTGCCACTCCCGGAACTTCTCCACGGCCTCCTTGAGCTGCCGGCCACTGGGGCTCTGCAGGTAGTTGTCCCCTGTGAGCTCCTGGAGGCGGTGCATCCGGCCAGGTTCAAACATCTCCAGGTCCTGGATCCGGAAGTAGACCTCCTCTAGTTTGTCCATCAGGGGGTACCTGGAGGTGATGTGGAACAGGTCGGGGACGTCGCTCTCACTGCTGATGCCAGTGAAGTAGCAGATGATGTAGGTGCCAAAGCAGGCTGGCTTCTTGAAGTCTGGCAGGATCATGTTCATGGCCGCTGTGAAAAGGTCCCCAGAGGGCTTCCAACGGTCACACCGCAGCTGGACAGTGGCTTCCTCCCAGCCCAGCATGGCCTGCCACTTGGCCTGGGTACCTCGGGAGCACAGGATAATGATTTTGGAATTGTTCTCTACCATTTCCTGTTTCTGCCGGCCGACCCAGGTCATGACCCCCACCTCTGAGATGACTTGTTCTTCCAGGAGGTCAAGAGCCACTTCAGTGCCACAAGTGGTGATCAGGAACTCGGCAAACTTTAGGACCACATCCACGTAAAGAGGGTGGTCAGCTGAGTAGACAATCCAGACCTTCTTGGGCTTTAGCAGTGGGGGGGTCAGGTCAGTAGTGGGCAGGACACCTAAGGGAAACCAAGGAAAGCAAGACCACATGCTTCATCCCCATGCCCCAAGCCCAGGGTAGTGTCCCTCTTGGTCAGCCTGTAAAGGCCCTGGATGAAGCACAGAGTTTGACTCTCTAGCTTAAGAAACACAACCCAGGTCTTTTAGAAGAAGCAAAATGTTGTCTTGCCTTGTTTGGGCTGCCTGAAAAAAACCATTTTGGTGCCTTGTGTGAAAAAGAGTCTTTCTCTCACATTCCTTTCTGGCCTTTAGCCTATACTTTAATCATTTTAATTGGAAAAAAAAATGGTGCAAAGACTGGCTAGGTGCATGCTCAGGGAAAGACCTTTCTTCACAAGATATGGTATACTTCCTTTTCTTTCTTTGTTGGGTGATTAATAACATGGTGTCCCAGCCAGGCACAATGGTGCAAGCTTGTAACCCCATTGACTTGGGAGGCTGAGCAGAAGGATCACAAGTTTGAGGCTAGCCTCAGGCCTTAAGTAATTTAGTGAGACTGTGTGTCACAATAAAATATAAAAAAAAAATGGTTGGGGATGCAGTTCAATGGTAAAGTACTCCTGGTTCAATCCCCAGTACCAAAAACATGCTGCCCTAAGCCTTGGTGTTTGGGGCTCCCTGTGTGAGGTGCCAGAGGGTGGGTACTAAATGTGAGGTCTTCTGAAGGGAGGGGCTCAAGGGCCAGACCACCAGAGGTGACCCATTCATTCATCCTGAGAACCCACCATCAACCTTTAAAAACAATCACACACACAAACCAGCCCCTCAGAGACCAGAATACTGACCAGTGTATTTGGTGTCATCTCCATATTTTTCATGATGAGACCCTGAAATAAAAAGAAGTGCATTGGAGTGACTCTACCGGAGGGAAACAGGGACCAGCTCACAGGGTGTCTCACAGGAGCACTGCACCACCCTGACAAAGGAAAACTGATAAGATAGCAATCCTCCAGATAATGGTTATCAGAGGCTTCTGGGCTTTCGCAGGGACACCATGTTGGGGAGCTGCCCAGCCACAAGGCCTGGTTGGTTGCCAGTGTTACTCACACCTCTGAAACTCGGTTTCTTCCTGTGTAAAATGAGTCTGAAGGGGTGGTGGATGCGATCATGTGTGTGAGGGGCCCTGTGCATTGTACACACTTAGTCAGCTGGGGTCCCTGTGATATCTGTGGTATTGACTCAGCGGGGCCTGTCACAGAGGCTAAGCTGCAGGGAAACTGGGGATCTGAGCCATGGTGAGGGACCAGGGAGGAGCTTTTATGAACAAACTCTACTGGCAGGAAAGTTCTTCCCCAGAAGTGTCCTTGCAGGAGGCAGAGAGCTTATGACATTTCTTTCCAGAGCTTGCACCCAGCCACTTACAACATTTCCTCCTGGTATTTTTGAGGTGAGGAAGGGGAACCAACATACTTAGGCAATTGTAACCCTGGGACATGTGATGAAAAAACTGCAAGGAACAGACTCTTCTGTGACATTTGGGGTGAAAAGAGTTCATGGATGATCATGTAAGAGAGTTATTTTAATTAATTAATTCTTAATTCTTTCTTTCCTTTTTGTGCGAACCTAGGGTTTCACATACACTACACAAGTAGTGTTGGATCACCACCAAAGATTCGGAACCTTAATTTCAATCCTTACTCTTTGGTCCTCTTCTAATTTAAAAGGGCAGTCTATTGACAGTATGTAACTAGTGGGGTTTTCCTTTCCTTTACCTGGCAGCATGCAGAACTTCAGGAAATGGTCAGAAGTATTATGGCAGCTGGGTATGCTGCTCAGTGATACAGCACTTGCCTAACATGCACAAGGCCCTGGGTTCCATCCCTAGCAAAACACACACACACACACACACACACACACACACACACACACACACACACTCTACAATGGCAGAAATGAAACAAAACAAAAATATCTGCTAACATCATTATTTTACCTTTTCTTTTTTTTCCCTACAGTGCTAGGAATTAAATCCAGGGCCTCATATGAGATCGGCAAGTGCCCTGACACTGAGCAATACCCCCAGCACTTGATTGAACCCAGGGGCACTCAACCACTCAGGTCTATCCACAGACCTTTTTTTTTTTTTTTAAAATTAAATTATTTATTCATTCTAATTTGTTATACATGATGGCAGAATACAATTCATTTCCTATTACAAATATAGAGTGCAATTTTTCAAGTCACTGGTTGTACAAAAAGTATTTTCACACCATTCGTGTCTTCACACATGTACTTAGGGTAATGCTATCTAAGTCATTCCACCGTCTTTCCTACCCCCCTACTCCCCTCTCTTTCTCTCCCTCCCCTTTGCCCTAGCTAAAGTTCCTCCATTCCTTCCATGCTCCCCCCACATCACCATTATGAGTCAGCATCTTCATATCAAAGAAAACATTAGGCCTTTGGTTTTTTGGGATTGGCTTACTTCACTTAGCATTATATTCTCTATATCCATCCATTTACCTGCAAATACCATGATTTTATTCTCTTTTAAAGCTGAGTAATATTCCATTGTGTGCATATACAAAATTTCCCTACCCATTCATCTACTGAAGGGCATCTGGTGTGCTCCATCCCCAGACTTTTTTGAGATATCGTTTGTATTATTTCACTTAATCTTTATAACGGTCTTATGGTGTCAGTATTATCTTTGTCATTTTACAACAGACAAATCTCAGGCTCAGAGCATTAAGACATCTTCCCAGGCAGTCAGTGGTCTATGAGCCCACGTCAGCCTGATGCCATATTCTAGATTTCTGGGAACTGGGATCACTGTTCAATGTAAGAGAGGCAATGTCTCTACTCAGTTGAGATCACAGGGCTGAATTGAAGGGTGCCCTCTGAGCACAGCCTTATAGGGAAGATCTAGCAGTGAGACTGGTTAAGGAAGGAGGAGAAGGAAAGACAGAGAAAAATGAGGAACAGTGGGAAGCCCCCTGCCTGCCCCAGAGCTCCGTACCTGTTATCCTCCACGTCATACAGACAGCCAACAGGATGATGGAGCCCACTAGCAGGATAGAGATGCCCGTGATGAAGCCATACACCCACAGGGGTATATACTCTGTGGTGAGCAGAACAGCGTGAGTGACAGCAAGGGTCCCAGCGCCATTCCCCAGTCCCTGGCTCTGTCCTCTCTGGCCTGCACCAGGACACACTGAGCTTCAGGTTCAGCCTTGTCTGCCTGGCTGGGTACAAGGCTCAAGTCAGGAACCCCTCTGACCCCTGGGGAATGTGGGAAGGGGTCTGAGCTTACCTGCAATTGTGACTGCAATTAGAACAAAAGAAAAAAGAGAAAAGAGTGTTCTTAATTATTAGCAGTAATTACAAAACCCATCACTGATGTCCACGGAGGGCCTAACCCTAACCCTATACCCAATACTTTGGATATGGGTCAAAAGTAATGCAGCCACCTACACGAAGCACCCTCAGTTGTTGGTCTAAGAAGAGGGGCCTCACCTCCCTCCTGGGAGGCCGGGTCTCTTCCAGCCTGTGCCATGTCTGCTGTTGGCATGTGGCGATGGCCTTGTGGGAGTTGGGGACCCATGACTTCTGAAGGAGAAGTAGGCAACTGGCTCAGGTAGGAAGCTGGGGCTCTCCACCACCTTAGCATGTGATCTGGAACAAGCTATTTAACATCTCTGCCTCAGTTTCCTCATCTGTGAGCCTGGGGTGGGGAGTCTCAACTTCACCACACTGTGACTAGCAGTTTGTAAGAAGTAAAGCACTTCCATGTTACTGGTGCCTAACTGTAACTGTGTGCTGGTAACAACCCCATCTTCAGTCCAGGAAGTTAAGGGCAAGGAAGCCACAAACTCTGCCCAAGGCCACACGGCTTATGAAGGGCTGTGGGGAGTGCAGCTCAGGAGAGTGTCCTCAAATTAAGTCACCCTCCCCACCTCTCCGCCACACCTAGGACCAGGTCAGGACTCAGCTCCAGGGCATGACCTTCACCCAACCTCACCCCAGACAGACACAACCCAGGGCAGAGGTGTCCCTCCTACCTGAAGGCTCTGGAAGGTCTGGGCAGGGAATGGTCACGGTGTGTCTAAGGCAGTCATTAAGGCAGCTGTTGAAGAAGGGCTGGACCTGGGAGAGAAGAGGAAGAACTGTAAGAGGGCCTCTGAGAGGTGGCAACATACACCCATCCCCAC